GAACGGACGAAAACGGTAAACATTCCATAATAGCGAGAAATAAATTAGTTTGCCCGGTAGCCGCGACCACTCGGCGGAACGATGGCGTCGCGGCGAACGTGCTCGTTGCTGCGCGCGGGGCGCCGGGGGTGTCGCTCCGGCGAGGGGCGAGCGGGGAAGCGGAAAGGCGGAAAAGACGGAGAAGGCGGAATAAGAGGAATAAATGGAAGGGGAGATCTTGAGAGAGGTCTCTCCCTCCTCTTCCCCTTAGCTGGCAATGACAGATACAAATAAACGATCCGGCGGTTTCGCGCAAGCGCCTTTCCAGAATCTAGCTTCTCTACCGTTCGACCACCACCACCACCACCACCACCGTCACACCACCACCACCGCCGTCGCCGCCGTTGCCGCCGCCACCGTCGCTACCACTGCTACCACCCACCCGGCCTCCCTCTTTCGCCCGGCGGAAGCCGGAGGTATATAGGCGACGGGTGCCCCCTCGACACATCCACCACCACCTTGGGTGGAGCCTCGTAACTGACGTCATCAAACGTACAGACAAACGGCACAGACGTAGAAACCAATGCGCGGAGAGGGCCAGGTGCCGGCTTACGTCTGCGTACAAATAACCGAGCACCTCGGCCACCCCCCGAGCGGACCCGCTTGGAGAACCGCCCCTATCCAGACGACTTCCATCCGTTCCGCCGCGGCAGTCGAGGGGCCGACTCTGGTACCGCCTGATTCCGACGAATGCCTCGTCGTCTGCCATTGCCTTGCCGTTTCCGTTGCGGAACGATAGACCCTTCGCTCCTTGCGCTTTAGGGGTCGATGGTCCTTGGGAAATCCTGGGGTATCGAAGGGTTTCAGGTGGATACAACCTAGTTTTGCGGACTCCATCGAAATGTTTCAGGTTTCTATTGGGTATTTCGTGTTTACGATTGTAGACGTTGGTTTCATCTCGTAGCGTGAGGTATTTAAGAAGTCGATGTAGATTATTATGGACATTCGTTATCGAGATCGCGACTCGCAGTTGAGTATAACGATTAATCTAAGGGGATGTCGCAAACAATCCAATTGTCATCCTTAACCCTTGGCGTAATTTGGCGGAGTCTGTCCTCCATAATTCCTTTCAGGAGAAATAGAAGATTCAAGGAAAACTTAGGCAGCTATAGTTATAGCTACGTTAACCCCTTGCGGTACTATTCACTTTCGTTACTAAGCTCGTGTAATTCACTATCGACAGTTTGTAAGAAATGCAAGAAAATCTTCCGTTCTACTTCAGGTGGAAGCTTCATTCAAAGACAGTACATTGATAATAGCAAAATAGTTTGATCCGTGGGTACCAACATTGATTCTTCTTGAATCAGTTTAGAAATCTTCATCGCGAGTCTCACTCGGTGAACCTTCGCATTGCCTATGTTAAACTCTACTCTCATTCTCATCCCCACGTCCAATCGCAGCGATTGAAGCACCGAATATCTCGCGATCCAAAGACAATCACAGGTTCGGTTTCAGAACGAATCCGGAGATCAACGAACTCGTTCGTAGCGGGTTATCCGAAAATGAATTCTTAACTCGGCCAGGCGATGTGACCAGTTCCCGTGTCTGGGCCGCGACGCCGGCACAGGGACCAGGCGGCGTCGGCGGCAGGGACACGCGAGCAGTAGTTGTTGGGGAAGTTGTATCGGGACCTAGTGGCAGAACCGCAGGAGGGTGGACGGCTGGAAAGGCGGCCGTTTGGAGAGGACGGGTGGCGAGGAGGAGTGTGCAGTAGGAGGCGGCGGGCGGAGGTGGAGAGGATGGCGGATGGCGGAGGGCAAGAGAGCGAGGGAGGTACGATCGGTAGGTAACACCGTGGCGATGGTTGCGGGGAGTGAGAGAATAGAGGGAATACAGCAGATAGAGGTAGCTTGGAGTCGAGTGCCCGGGGCTGAATCGACCCGGCTACATACAGCACACCCCAAGCCGGCAGTCCCTCTCTTACTCGTGCATTCGCTCGCTCGCTTCCCCTACCCTCTTTCGTTCTTCCTCCACCGTCTCCCCGACTCTCTCACCCTCTTGCCCACCTGCCGACATTCACCCGCGCGCAACCCCTTTCCACTCATTCCCGTTCTAACCGTCGTCATCTCTTCTCTTCTCCGCTCTGCTCTTCTCTTCTCCGCGCTACCCTTCTCGGCGTGCTCCGATGTTCTCGTCTATCACCCTCGCGGTTCTTCCCGACTACCTTCGCGGCAGTCTTATTCTCTTCTGCGCTGGGTATTTCGGGACCTCGCTTGCTCCTCAGTAGTTTCCTTTTATTCCCTTGTGTTCTATTAGTCTTCCCGATACTCCTGTTCCTCCGATCATCTGGTTTATGCGTGCATGAATGTGACTAATTTTAGAGGAGATCGGTTTCCTTCGTGTCCTCGGTTTGCTACGTTCCAGCCCGGCGTTCTCCGGTTTACGGGAGCTCGTTCGATCCTCTCCCCGAGTTTGGTATCTCTTGGTCTGTTCGATTGTTCTCTGAAGTCTTCCCGATGCTTCACGCTCCACTTGTCGATTACTTCGAAACCTCGCTTTGTCCTAGGGGATGCAAAGAATCCTTCGACGAACGAGGTTCGCGGAATTGATAATTCGAACCGCGGATCGGCGTACGACTCGAGGCTCGTAAACACCGTCGCGCATCGAGAGAATTGGTCCGTTAGGGGGTTAATCGGCGCCCGACGATAGAATGGTAAATTGGACGACGGAGTGGCCAGCCGGCGAGTGGAGGAGCGAGACGAGGCAGCGGCGCGTTATCCTTGGATCTGAAGTTCGAGGGCTCTCCGAGTATTCGTCCTCCCGTCGATTAGGCGCATATCCGATCTGGAAAATTCGCTTAGATCGCCGGATAACCGTCGAGAGTAGGAACTCCACCAGCACTCGAGGAAAGAGAGAGAGAGAGAGAGAGAGAGTCGGCCTCGCAGGAGTCGAACACCAATCGACTGCCTATTTACCCGCCAAACAGCGGCCGCGCTGCGAGCCGGTTCCTCTTTTCAAATTCACCCCTTTTTGAGGGGCGCGCGCACTCGCGGCGCCTCGCGCCTCGAGTATCCGCCAGACAAAACGGTCTCATTCCCATCTCAATCTATATTCGCACGTCCAACACACTCGAGATTATGAATGCGTGGGGTTAATGAAACCGGGGAAGGCGTCTGCCTTTGCACCACCAACCGACCGCCGCCGCCGCCGCCGCCGACGCCGCCGCCGCTGCCGCCGCCGCTACCCCGTCGCCAAACCCAGCCCCTCGAGTGTCTTGCCTCCGCACACACCTCCTCAGACCTCTCTTCCGCGCCAGGCCTCTTCCTCCTCATCCTACGCCGGCTTCGTCATTTTCCTCCACCTCCGGCGTACACACGTATGTATACAGGGTGTTTCTTAACCCTTTGAGGACGAATGTCGTCGTTCTACATCGAGCTTTCATATTTGGAATGCATTGCGGACGAGGAATAATTTTGTTATTTAAATAAGAGAAGGGTGTAGATCTTTGTTTCTGTGGTATTTAAGAGTTGGGTATGGAATCTAGGTGTGTTGAAGCTTTTGGATAGTTTGGAGAATCATTGTCTAAGGGTTGGATCGTGTGACGGGGAAAGTGAGTGTATATGGAGGAATATATGGAGATTATAGAATAGTTTTCTCATGTGACTCTGTAGGTTTTCTAAGGGGGTGATATTAATTTCGTATGCATCGCACCACGATTTCGCAAACACCCTGTATGCAGTTTGGCCGCAGCTACCCTCGGCGAGAACGCGGACAGCAGCCCTCGTTGCGCCCGCGGTTCTCCGCCGTTTTTCTGGGGAGGTAAACAGAGCCGGACGCGGGCGCGAACTCGCTCCACTTCGCTTTATTCTTTGAAAGGAAGGTGCGGTGGCGCGCGTGAAAGAGCCATTTCAGACCCAACGCCGACCCCCTTGCCCCTTGGGTGGTGTGAGCTGCGAAACGTGGCCAGACGAGACCGGTACTTACGGTTCTTCGTCGGATCGCCTTCGGTCCTTAAGTTTGAGAATCGATTTCTGGAGGAATCGTGCTGTTTTAGTTATTGCGTGTAGATTCGAAGCTCGTTGGATCCTTAAGCTTAGTGGAATAAGGGATGAATGGTTGTAGGTTTCTAGTAATTTGAAGTTTGACAAAGATCTTCGATGGAAGCTGATTGGGATTCCCTTTAGATTGTTTCCTAATTTCGTTGGATTCTTAAGCTTAGGGCAATAGGGGATGCATGGTTGTAGGTTTCTAGTTTAAAGTTTGACAGAGATGCAGAGATAGTTCGAATGACAAGTATCTTCGTTGGAAGCTGATTAGGATTCATTTGTGGATTGTTTCCTAATTTCGTTGGATTCTTATGCTTAATGGAATAGGGGATGCATTATTATAGGTTTCCAGTAGTTCGAAGTTTGACAAAGATCTTCGATGGAAGCTGATTAGGATTCATTTGTAGATTGTTTCCTAATTTCGTTGGATCCTTAAGCTTAGTGCAATAGGGGATGGATGGTTATAAGTTCCTAGTTTAAAGTTTGACAGAGATGCAGGGATAGTTCGACAGACGAGTGTCTTTTCGGAGGCTGGTTGGAATTCATTGACAGATTGTTTTGCAAAAGCGTCCTCGTGTTTTACAGGGAAACGATGCGGTTTAAATTCGATAGAAAATGCATCGCCGAATGGTACACCGGTCGCGGTCGAATAAACCTCGATATTTCAAACCCCCGTCGCGGTAACCGATAGAGAAGTGTCCCGGGATGCGATGCGAAACAAAGTTGATCGGTTTTCCGCGCGACAAGCTTGTCGACGCGGTGTCGACAATGTGGCCGGAATTTTCGTTCGATTTACTGTCTCCTGAAGTTTTAGTAATTTCGCGTGCAAGTCCCGCGCTGTTTTGCTAGTTTCCCTATCGACTGAGAAGTCTCCTCTAGTTCCCCTCCGTGGCCGCGAGATGGCGTCACCGGCAACGACCGTGGCGCTAACCGCGGTATATTAGACAATTGTCATTAGTTATTCGAATTATTGAATTGATCGCGTGGGAGCTGCGGCCTGGAAGATTTGGAAGATAGTTTCTCGTGAAATTTCCAGTGATCTTTTCTAAATTTTGTGTCTTCGAAGTCTTCGTGGCTAGTACTGTGCGTTTAGCAATGAAATTGTTGTTTGTGCAATGATTCTTTCGATGAATTCGATGAAGATCGACGCTTCACTAGGTACGTTGCATTTCCTTAACATTCGCCATGTTGATTTCTTGGAATGCATTCGAATCGAACTCGTTCCACGTAATTGTATTCTGGTTTATAAAGTTATTAATATTTATCGAGTGTCGTTTGTTACTTTCTAATTATTCGTGACAGGTAACCTTCGTTAATACTTTTTTAAAGATAAACATTTATGAGAGTGTACATAGGGTTACGTTTCTAGAAATTTCCGTTACTATTTTGAATTTAACCTGACCCAAGAGCCTCCGCACGTAGCACTCCAGGTGTGAATAACTCGTTACATTGAAAATATTGCAGCAAAAGTAAAGCATTATGATGAAAGGTCATCGTAGATCGATGAAATTGCCTAGTTTGTTACACATACTTACGATAAAAAGAACTCGACTGTTTACAAGGTTATCCGTTAACCCTAAAAGACTATAAAATGGCGGCTGAGGCCTTCAAGCGTGTAATTAACAAACTATAAACAATACATTGTTTTGCCAGTGTAGAACATTGAGAGATATTATGTACCATCGATTGGTCGTGTTCTAATATTAACGCTTCAGTTCTATTTCTTCAAAGGAAATACAAATTACTTAGTTTCTACACTTAAGATTATTCTGAATCATTGTAAAATTAAGAATTAAGATCCTACAAGTAAATTGAAATTCTCATCAGACATACTTAATTCTTAATTTTACAATGACTGAGAATCCCTATCAAGTGTAGAAGGCAAGTGGTCTGTATTTTCTTTGGAGAAATAATTATTATCTTTGTTTAATTAGATAAAGATCCTCCAAATAAATTGAAATTCTCATCAGACTTAATACTTAATTTTACAATTATTAAGAATTCCTATCTTAAGTGTAGAAGTCAAGTTATTAGTATTTTCTTTGGGGAAATAATCATTATCTTTGCTCAATTATAGAAAGATCCTTCATTTTAATTGCAATTCTCATCAGCCTTAATACTTTTCCAGGTGCAGATGCGTATCAACGAATGCTGAACGGTGTCTAAGCAGCGGCAGGACCACGTTTGCCAGCAGCCATCGATGCGACCGAATGAAATGGCTGGATGGCGGGGGTGAGGTTATAAAGATTTTTTATTCTGGGGTGTTATCCTCCAAGTAATGGTCGCAGTAAACCACGGGAGGGCCCGGATGGACCATCGATTGCGAGTTCTTTCGCTGGGCGCCTCTTACGGCATCACGAAGGAGGATTGAGGTCCCGCATTACCTTGACTTACAGGTACTCGCGGCAGTGTTCCTCCGCGCTTCCAGTAGGAATACGTACTCCCGCTGAATATCTATCCTCCTCAGCTAAGGGCTAGACTCTTCGATCCGCGATATATTCGAGGACTAGCCCTTCGCCTGAATTTATTAGCTTCTTTATTTTATCTTTGGCTCGAAGCGACCCTTGGTACGCGGAATAGCTTTCCCTTCGTCTCGGCTTTTAAGCTTCTGGCTAGATTATGTAGATAAACTAGGAAGCGATGAGTTAATCAATTTCAACACTAGATTTACTGGGTCGAAACTACCCTTTGATTTCTACTTTCACAATTACCAAAAGGACAGATTCGAGAAATCCTTCACCCTTTGCACTCCGAAGTTTTCACTAGAAATATTTCAACATTTTCTGATGAGATGACGATATTTTGTAAAACCAACTCGAGAAATTCACGTGAATTGGCGGACAAACTGTCTTATGTCAATATTTCTCAGATTGATGCATTATATGAAGTATAATGTTAAATATCAAACTTTATAGCTTCACTGTAGAGTCACCTCTCGATTGCAAAGGGTGAATTATTCAGCGTTGCAATCCTTGCATTACACTATCAACATAGTTACGTTATTAAACATTCTGATTCGATATTGATTTGCCCGTTACAATTGCTTTCAAGTAATTCAGTAGCGTCAGTCACCGGTGACTGGCATTTAACGTGTTAAATCATCCAGGGACACCCGAACTGACACATAAATCACTTTAAATCCCAATAAACCCATTATAGTATCCACAAAGAAATTCAAAAAATTCAGTTAAACCTCAGCAGTTCTACCGAATATACACAACAAAGTAGAATTTCTTCACCACCTTAGCGCCAACGATTCTCTACGCAAGACACAAAGATTTCACACCATAACTATCAATAAACCCATTATAGTATCCGCAAAGAAATTCGAAAATTCAGTCGAACCTCGGTTCTACCGAATATCCACAACAAAGTAGAATTTCTCCACCATCTCAGCGCCAACGATTCTCTACGCAGGACACAAAGATTTCACACCATGACTATCAAACCCATCCACCCAATTCCTCCGCGACCCTTCTCAGCTTTCCTGCTTATTCCCATTCAACCCCGAGAAGCTCGCGGTATCATTTCGTTAAAACAACGCGTCTTGGTTCCCCGACGAAGGAATCCAACCCCGCCCTCCCCCGAATACAAAAATAATGAGCGTCGAGTGTTTTGGTTCGATTAGGCCGCGTCGATTTTTATCGTCGCCTTCGCCCTGCGGTCGTGCTCGAAGGGGGCCGCGGGCCTATGCAAATACGCTCGGCGGGGTCGCGGAGGGGGGTTGGAAAAAAATTACGCCGAAGTGCTAAAC